AGTTATGTGCTTTAAGTTCAGAATAACTTGTCCAGGAGTCCTCATATCCGGGTACAAGAGGGAGAGAGGGAGATGAAAACATTATTTTAAAAAAAACGAACACATTGCATACTAATGAGAGTGAGTTAGTGTAACAGTAACATAATTGGAAGGGATCTTGGAGGTCATCTAGTCCAACCCCCTGCTCACGCAGGAGACCTGAACTAGGGATTCAAACCGCTGAACTGCCGACCTTTCTGATCGACAAGCTCAGTGTTTTAGCCACAGAGCCACCTAGTCAGGCTTTAAGACTTGTAGAGTCAACTTGGTCTCAGGATGAGCATATAATCTGTGCTGGTATCTTGTTTCCCTAAAACCAGGTTCCATGTTGTATTGATAACCTTAAATGCCAAGCATCTGAATGGATCAAGGTTGGGTCCATGACTATCAACTAGCTCTGCTACTGGTTTGGCACTTCTGCTTCCCTATCTTCTTTTTTTTTTAATTTATTTTTAAAATTTGATTTATATGCCGCCCTTCTCCGGAGACTCAGGGCGGCTTACAATGCGTTAAGCAATAGCCTTCATCCTTTTGTATATTTATACAAAGTCAGCTTATTGCCCCCACAATCTGGGTCCTCATTTCACCTACCTTTGAAAGGATGGAAGGCTGAGTCAACCTGGAGCCTGGTGAGATTTGAACTTACAGTAATTGCAGACAGCTGGTGTTAATCACAATGCTTAGTCTGCTGAGCCACCAGGCCCCTATCTTCACTATAGCAGGGCAAAAGGGTGATGTCACTTGCTGATAATGCCATGTAATCAGTCATTTGCCTTTTATCTCTTGACAGGAGATGAAAAGGGGAAAAAAGCGACCTTAGAAAATATGTTGCTAACCTTTTCCACAACCTTGAATGGATTCATCCTATATAACCAGAATAGGGAATTTGTAAATCTCAGGATGCGATGACTCAACATTCCTTATCATTGGCCATGCTGATGGATACTTCTGGGAATTTTAGCTTGGCAACCTCTAGACTAGAGAATTACATGTGCCAACTCCCTGCAAGAGAGTTAACTAATTATAATTTTTAGGGACCCAAAATGGTCCCAATCACTTTCAAGCGGAATTGCCAGCAGGCTTGGGAGAACTCAAAGGCTTGGTAGATATCCCAGCGACTTGAAAAGAGACACCTCTAAGGAGGGAGGAAGAAAGTAAACGGAGAAGTAGTTCATGGGGCTATGAACATGAAATATTACCTGAGGGTGGGGGGAAAATTAAAAGGAGAATGCAAGAAAATATTTTGAGAAAGAGTTTGGCTAGCTAGCTAGAAACTTGGAATACCTAGTCATGGGTTCTCTTGGTTCCATCAAATAATTAAAAACAAGGTCCACTTGTTCCTCTTTGAAAGATGGTTCTTGGTCCCTTTTTTGTAATCCTAAATTACAACTCTTCAGCAGAGGAAGGAGGAAGAATGCAAAGAGTGGTGGAAAACAGGACTCTGGCAGGAAGCCTTTTCGCGACATGGCACAGTCAATATGGGCCCTGTGAACAAGAGAATGAGCAGTCAGGAAGGATAGGGAGAGAAGATCTGATGGCCTGACAGCAGGATAGGGGAGAAGTAAATGTGTACTGCTTAGACTAGGTGCCAGGTGTGAAGCTCTGATCGGTAGCCTTTGCTTGCAGATTTGGAAGTTCCAAAGCAGCAGAATAGAAAATAATCACACCATTTCCCTCCTTGTTCTTTGTTCTTGTTGGAAACTGTGTGTCCCAATTCTGTGATGTCATTACAAAACAACAGTGTTCTTAACCTGAAATTGATTCCTGAACCCACTATGGAAGGGGTCATTGCCTTCATTCAGGATGTTTATTTGACTTCTCTGCCTAGCCTATGATCCTTGGGTTTTCTGATGGTCCACTTAACCAAGTATAACCACCAGGCCTGGCCCTGCTTAGCTTTTTCAGATTAGCCTAGGTCATTTTAGAAGAGAGCAAAAGAGGAATCAAAGCATCCTGTAGTGGCTAATGGCAATGGTCTTCTGGTCCTTAAGTCACTGGTGCTGACATTTTCCCTCAAGTTAAATTTATAAGCAAATAAAACAGACGAGACAGTTGTGTTTGCAATTGCTAATGTATTTCTAGATGAGGATTTTATTTTATTTTTTTAATGTATATCTTGTATCTGCTCCCTAGAATATATCACTTTTTTTTCCTTTTTACGACCTTTTTAGTTCTCATAAATGAATCCATAAATCATAATCTTCAACACAGTGTAATTCATGAAAAAAACAAAACATGCTAAATGCAGGTTAATCACATTTGAATACAATGCAACATATGAAGGCATTCACTGTATTTTTTCTCTCTCTCTCTGTATGTGTGTGCAAAACAGTTTTTCATTATCCTTTAACAGAACTGTATATCACAAAGCTTACCAATGCATTTGTCATGCTCAGTTTCCTGGGTATTTTTGAGAGGAATTCTAGGTGGAACAGAAGGTAATTCTTGAAATAGAATGCAATGGGTTGAAATGTCAGAGAGAGGAAAGGTTATGTGTATCTGCTGAGCAGGACTGCAGGTTTACAGGCAGCAAACGTAGGTGGTGGTATTTCTGATAGGTTGGCCTTTCCTTAAGCATGCGCCACAAGTTATTTGGAAACAATAGCTGTCCATGGTGCTGAACAATTTGCTAGCTTTCCACCCCTTGTCGTGAAGTTGCATCTTGAGTTAGATATCATTAGACACTGACATGCTTGTGGTTACTACCAAAATTAATTTTTTAGAAAATAAAAGAGCTAATTAATCTTATCTTCCTAAACAGGGCAGCATTTCCACATCCCATACGAAAAAATAAGCCTGGTTCACACACCTTAATACATGTAGGTTAGAGTTTTGCCACATACAATGCAAATATAACTATGAAGGGATTCAGGAACTTCATTATGACAACGTTGAGGTTTCAGGAATGAGAATGAGTATCCATCATGCGATCTGACAATCCTGCTCAATAATTTGTCTTTGGTCATAATTTGAAATATTGATGATGTTTTCATTGATTCTAAATGATTTGCATATAGGATATTTAAAATGCATCCTTCTTACACACCGACTTCTCCCTTGCCTTGCATCTGGAGAAGAAGCCCTACCTAGGCTCTTGAATAGTTATGACAAAAATTGGAACTTCAGCAGTTGCATGTAGATTTTCCTATGTTGTCTTTAGCTAGTTTCTTCTGATATTCATTCTGCTAACACATTTGTGTCGGTGTGAGCTGGGTTATATATAGATATCTGAAATGAAACACCTGCAACTCACTTGATGTATTTATAGTATTTCTAACCGCCATCTTCACACAGATCCCTGACAGTACGTATCAAATCTACACTGATACGCTGGAGATTGGGACTACAAATTTCAGGCAGTGCCATGTCTGAAATTTTTCTCTGGCGGGCTAAAGACTTTTTCTACAATTCTGATTGACTTTTGAAAGCTCAACAGCTAACATTTTTATCTGACCATGTAGATTACTTTCTATGTTTGTTAGTTTACACTCGAGTTCTATGATGATGCTGTGATTTTTGAACTGGTGGGGAAATCCTCCAGAGTGGTACGTCAGCATGAGAACATCATGCTAGAGAAAGAAATTTGGAGATGGTACTTAGTATTCTTCTTTTTAATGGTCAGCCACCAGAAAAAATGTATTGACCAGAACCAGGCTCTTAATACGTCATGTAAAAGAGGGGGGGAAATTCAGTACTGACTGTCTACTTCAGTGCTCACTTCAAATGCGAGAAAGAGGTTTCAATAGGCGTATATCAGCAGTGTATTACCAGTAGCATAAACCAGAAGATGGGATCCTTTTACATTAAAAGGCATTAGATTTTCTGAGATATTTTAAAATATTGTGAAAGGTTTCAAACAAAATTAAAATATGTTTATTTAATTTTTAAATAACATTTATTAGTCTGAAAAGGTGCTAATAGACCAGATACAGGTGGTCCTTAACTTACAACAGTTTGTTTAGTGAATGTTCAAAGTTACAATGGCACTAGAAAAAGAGGCTTATAACCGTTTTTCACACTTGCAACATCCTCGTGATCATGTGATCAAAGTTCAGATGCTTGGCAACTGGTTCATATTTATGACGGTTGCAGTGTCCTGTGGTCATGTGATCACTTTTGTGATCTTCTGACTAGCAAAGTCAATGGGGAAGCCAGATTTTTTTTTTTTAAATTTGATTTATATGCCACCCTTCTCCGGAGACTCAGGGCGGCTTACAATGCGTTAAGCAATAGCCTTCATCCTTTTATATGTTTTATACAAAGTCAGCTTATTGCCCCCACAAACTGGGTCCTCATTTCACCTACCTTAGAAAGGATGGAAGGCTGAGTCAACCTTGAGCCTTGGAGAGATTCGAACCAGCAGAAATTGCAGGCAGCTGTGTTAATTACAGGGTGCACTAAACCTGATTCAATTAGCAACCATGTTACTAGCTTAACACCTGCAGTGATTCATTTAACAACTGTGGCAAGAAAGGTTGTAAAAAGGGGCAAAACTCACTTAACAAATGTCTCACTCAGCAACAGAAATGTGGGGCTCAATTGTGGTCATAAGTCGAGGGCTACTTGTATTTGGCTATCATAAACCAACATGGCTCTTTTCCTTTAATGTTTAAATAGCATATCATTTTTTTTCAAATATTCAAAAGACCAGATCATGGCTAGTGAGAGTCTGGAAGTAAATACCTTTATCAACATTAGTCATCATCATCTTCTTCTTCTTCTTCATCATCATCAACATCTTCATCATCATCATTATTTCTAAAAGTTTTTTTTTTAATTGTTGTAAAATAGATTTGAACATGATTGTTTAGAAAAATGGAGTAGATTTGTGCATTACTTTCCTCCTCCTAATTTAAATCTCTTACTTGAGAGAGTAAAGAAAGTCCTGTATTTCCCACCTGTCATCCTAGGGGAAAAGATGTGGCTGATGCTCTAACCTATTTCATTTTTTTCCCTCAAAGGTGGAAAAATTTGCCAAATACTTGGATCCAAATGATCTGGGCAGGATCAGCTTCAAAGATTTCTGCCATGGAGTATTTGCCATCAAAGGTAGACATTGTTTTTACAATTATTCTGTGAAATGTTACTATTTATCAAGAATTGTGGTAGTATTGATATATGGGAGTGACAAAAAGAATTACATTAAGAAATTTTGAAAAATGATACTCCACAACACAGTCCTTTCAGCAGTTCCAAAATGGTTCCACACACATTTGCTCTCTTCAGGCGACCCTGAGGGCACAGATAAACCTCCAGGTGGCCTCAATGACTCTCAGAAGGAATGCTAAGGAATATAAACCCTCCCATTCCCCACCATTCAGTCAGAACTGAAGAAGCTTCTTGGATGAGAAGCGAAACTTCTTCAAGGAAAAAACAAAAAAAGTCCAGTTGCCTCTTGAAAGAACACCTTCGGGACAACCATGACCTGGACGATTGAGAATCTCCATAGCCCTGAAACTCAAGCATGGTTTCTCCCACTGGGAAAACACCTCTAGTTGTGCTATTACTGCTGTCAGGTTAAGGAAAGGAATACTAAGGTTAAAGTTAAAGATTAAGACACAAACTGACTATACCTTTGTTCTTCAATAACCATATTTTCTGACTATAAGATGCACCTAAATTTAGAAGAGGAAAACAACAACAACAAAAGTTTTTGGCTTACCTTTTTTCAGGCCTTTTCCAGTCTTTTTTTGGCCTGTCTCTGGGGTTTTTTTCGGCCCATTGTCGAAGCTTTTTTGGCCCATTTTCAAGGCTTCTTGCGACCCATTTTTGGGACTTTTTTCGGCCTGTTTTTGGAGCTTTTTTTGGCCCATTTCTGAGGCTTTTTTGGCCTGTTTTTTCGGAAAAAAATGGGCCAAGAAAAGCCTCAGAAATGGGCCGAGAAAAGCCTCAAAAACTGGCTGAAAATAACCTCAAACAGGCCGAAAAAAAGCCTCGAAAATGGGCCAGAAAAGGCCTGAAAAAGGCTGAAAAAAGGCCCGAAAATAAGGCGTGCGGAGGCCAAAAAACTGGCTGTCAGGTGGCCTGTGCTTCGGCAATATTTGGTCTATAAGATGCACAGACATTTTCGCCCCCTTTTGGGAGACAAAAAAGTACATCTTATAGTTTGAAAAATACAGTACTTCTTAATGCTTACTTGTTATGTATCTTTTCGAGATCAAGCTGGTGTAGATGGATATCCCTCCCTTCATATTATCCTTAAAACAATCCTATCATGTAAGATGACCTGAAAAAAAATCTGATCCAGTAAATTCCTTGATCCAGAGGAAACCTGAATCTCTACTCGCTGCCCAACAGCCCTATATGACACTGACTATTATAATTAAATTATTACTGGAGATCAACCTCCTGCTCTCTGCATGATGCCAAAATGATCTGTGAGAGCTTGCACAGCGCTTCTTTAGCTTCAGAAATAAATCTATGTGGCACCCCATTTGTCCTGTACCTAGAGAAGAATCTTTTCTCGTCCCTGCAAAGTGATTTGGCATTTTAGTGTACACAATCAGTGAAGCCTGAAAGTCAACATCCAGGGTTCAGAGTAAAACCTGGCACCCTTTACTCACAACTCTTGTTCTAAATGTTTTTGTTGTTATTTGTTTGGCTTGTTTTATTTTGCTGGGGAGGAGTACGCAGGAATCCCACAAGGGACAAGAAACTGCCGTACGTGTATTCTTCAGTGCTTTAGTATGGGAACTAGGACAAAAATTCGCCGCATCTGATGAATAAAGCTGATTTTTTAAAAAAAAGATGCATATGCTGAGAGATGAAAAATAAATGAAAACTCTGCGGTATTTTTTTTTTTTTTTTTGGCATGGAATCAAACACACATCAATATTGTATATACATCTGATATAACGTCTGATGCTGAAGGCCTTGAAGGAGGGTTGGAGGGAAAATAATTAAGCCTACAACTTCATTATTCTAACAGGCATCATTTTTCGTGTTTACACCACACTGGAGTTGTGTACATTGTACCATAATTATTTTCCTTCTGTTTTAGGCAGCTCTCACATCCTCTTTCCTGGCACTTATTTTCCATTAATTTACAAGTAGTCCTTGACTCACAACCACAACTGGGCCCAGAATTTCCGTTGCTAAGGGATGCAGTCATTAAGCGAGTTATTAAGCACATGACCTGATTCTATGTCATTAAGCACATGACCTGATTCTGTGACCATTTTTCCATGGCCCTTAAGTGAATCATGTGGTTGCTAAGTGAATCACACAGTCATTAAGCGAATCCGGCTTCCTCAATTGATTTTGCTTGTCAGAAGCCAGTTGAGAAGATCGCAAACGTGAACCTGGGACTGTAAGACACCGCAACCATTGTAAATGTGAGCTCGTTGCCCAGCACCTGAGTTGTGATTATGTGACCGTAAGGGGTGGTGTGATAATTGTTACTTTGAGAATGGGTCATAAGTTACTTTTTTGTAATTTTGAACCATCATGAAATGTGCAGTTGTAAGTCAAGGATCACCAGTAGTTGGGATTTTAATCTTCTAATTTCTTTTCATATGCAATTTTCTTCTTGCTCTCACAGCTTATTCACAGCTGTGCTTTGTCAGTGTTCATTGTTTCCTAAGACCCAGAGTTAACACAATCAGATCAGAGATCAGGGGTGGTAAGAGAATACCTTCGCTTACCTTCGCTACTGGTTCGCAAATGTGAGCGTGCGTGCATGCATGCGTAGAGCATCAAAAACATGGATAAATGAGACATGATGATGTCTGGGCGGGTGGGCGGGGCCACCCACAGCCACTGCTACTGATTCGCCCGAATTGGATAGAACCAGCTGAATATCACCACTGAAACAGATAATTGTCTATCTCATGCTCAGAATCTTTTTAACACTTGTGTATGTTCCACTGATTGTCCCAGTACTTCATCATAAACAATCAGAGCACTCCTGTTTTTGATTAATTCCTTTGCCTTTCGTACATATAGACTTAGTCTTAAGATATATATTTGAAATAAATCAATCTATTTCTAAGTTTATACTCATCACATTCTGATTGATTCTTGGATCTCAAAATAGCCCAGTCTTTTTTTCTGTACTTGTACAGCTTGTACCCACCAATTCATGCATTTGTATCACTTAACTCCCACCCCCACCCCTGGATGGAATTTATTCAGAATGTTGCACATTTTTCCTCCAAACTCATCCTCGATTCTTCCATTATTATTATTAGTTCAATTTTATTATTTCAATTTATATGCCGCCTTTCTCTGAAGACTCAGGGCGGCTTACAATGCATTTAAAAAAACCATTATAAAACATTTAAAAATTAAAACATTAAAACCCATTCACACCATTCATGGCCAGATCTCACAAGATCGCAACAGCGAGATCAACGGCCCCAGGCCTGCCGGAAGAGCCAGGTCTTCACTGCTTTTCAGAAGGCCAATAGGGTGGGGATGGTCCGGACCTCAGGAGGTAACTGGTTCCAGAGAGCTGGGGCAGCCACAGAGAAGGCCCTCCCCCACGGGCCCGCCAGCCGGCATTGTTTAGCTGACAGGACCCAGAGGAGACCAACTCTGTGAGATCTTACCAGTCGCTGGGAGCTATGTGGTAGAAGGCGGTCTCGAAGATAACTTGGCCCTGAGCCATGTAGGGCTTTAAAGGTAATAACCAACACTTTGAATTGTGCCCGGAGACCAATTATTATCACTGTTTAATGAGCCATGACAGGCAACTAGGGGCCTAACAAGACGTTCAACTTATTAGCTGGAAAGCTAACAGCCTGGGTTTGAGACCTGTGTGCCACGTGATGGGGTGAGCTCTCATTACTTGTCCAGCTCCTGCCCACGTAACAGTTTGAAAGTATGCAAATGCAAGTAGATAAATAGGTACCACTTTGGTGGGAAGGTAACAGCATTCTAAGGCATCTTTGCTGTATAGTCATGCTGGCCACATGACCACAGAAAATGTCTTTGGACAATGCTGGCCCTCAGCTAAGAAATGGAGATGAGCAACGCCCCATAGAATCGGATAATACTGGACAGGGGAAACCCTTACCTTTATCTTTAACAGGCAACTAGTGGCAACCTATGAATTTCGACTTCTACACCCACAGAATGTATGTGATACCAACTCATACTTCATGGTATACGTTTTTACTGTTTTATTCATAACTCAACCTACTTCTTCACTTCTGCATAGGTATTCGTCAACTCCATTTCATCAGATCAGACTATCTTCATTCAAATTATTCACAAATATTTATTTTCCTTTTTTCCCTGTATAATTAATTAGTTCATGTCTAAACCGCTTTATTTTCATGTCTAAACCACAAAAGGAAAGAGTAGATAAGGTGACCAGTCTTTGTGGTATCCAAACCACATGCTACATTTTCTGGTAAGGAATCAGGCTTGGCTCATTTTGGCCAGGATGCAGCAGCCGTAGCCAGCTAAATTTCGAGGGAGATGGGCAGTTAAAAATATGAAATGTAAATAATGAATAAGTAAAGAAATATATATATAATCCAAAGATGTTTATGTTATCTATTCTATGGCTTTGCAATCCAGCAATAAAATTCAAGCCAACGCACTGCGACATGTACCTACCACCAATAAAGAAATAATGCAGTCTCCTAACATATTCTGTCTCGGACTACGCTAAAGAATTTACCAAACTAGCAACTCATCTCCCAATTTCACCCTCACCCTGCCTTTAGTTTTCTTAAACAAGTACGGTTATAAAACAAAACACATTCTCCCTCTAGTGGGCAAGTTTATCTTCTGCAGGGAAAGAACAGTTAGGATTTTTTTACCTGATAAATTTGCATCATTTGCTGACTGGGAAATGTAGTTTGCAGATGTTAGAGTCTCTTTCGCTTTCTTTTGAAACTCCCTCTCTATAATCTGAAGCTTAGAAAGTCAAATGAATGAATATTCATTCCCCACAGCTTCTGATTCCTCAATTGGATAAATTTAAGTATTTTAGTATAAGTGAATTTCTTTCTTTCCTGCGACTGCATAATCACATATTCCAAGAACCATCCCCATATTGTAGGGGAGCAAATCCAGATCAGTGGTGTGTTTCTACTGGT